CTTAAACATAGGCCCAGTGTGGTCATACTACAGAAAAAGAGACTTCATATAGCCTGTCTGTCCTCTCTCTTAGGAATACTCAGTGTAGAACTATGTAAAAAATGCCTTATGTTGGGGCTCCCAGAATTTCTAAACTGTCACACTAGCAAATATTTAGCCTTCAGGAATTTAAGAATTTGATAAAATTTGGCTGTTTTTTTAGCAGCTTTTATGTTGGCCACCTTTGTCCCATCTCCCCTTGTCAGGGGGACTTATCATTCTTCGTAGTTCAATTCATCTCGTGCCCTGCAACCTCAGTTCTGGTGGACTCAAGAAAAGTGATTTAATAGATTATTTGGCTTACCCGTATGTTAGAGTAGGAATGATGTTCTTTTGTGGCTGTCTACATACTAAGCAAAGATGGAGTACTACCCCCCCCCCCAATTTTGATTTATTTTGCTGGAAAATATTCAAGTAGAGAAGAGTTGGGAGAATAGTAAAATTAATATTTGGATGACCTCACCTATATTCAGTAGTTGATAATTTGTCACATTTATTGTATCTATATACTAGAGACCCAGTGCACAAATTTGTGCACCAGTAGGGTCCCTTGGTCAGGCCTGTAGGATGGGGCTGAAACCGGCTCTCGGACGCCCCCAAGGGGTCCCGGATTGTGAAAGGGCGCAGACCAGGCTGAGAGACCCCACTGGTGCACGATCGGGGCCAGGGAGGAACGTGAGAAGTTGGCCAGCTGTGGAGGCACCATGGGAGGGCTCCAGGGAGTGTCCAGCACAACTCGGCCAGACCCCACCAGCAAGCTAACCTACCGGTTGGAGCCTCTGCTCCTGGTGGTCAGTGCATGTCATAGCAAGTGGTTGAGTGGCCTTGGCATATCATTAGCATATTATGCTTTGGTTGGACAGTTGACTGGACACTTAGCATATTAGGCTTTTATTTTTTTTAAATATATTTTATTGATTTTTTTACAGAGAGGAAGGGAGAGGGATAGAGAGTTAGAAACATCGATCAGATCAGCTGCCTCCTGCACACTCCCCACTGGGGATGTGCCTGCAACCAAGGTACATGCCCTTGACCAGAATCGAACCTGGGACCCTTGAGTCTGCAGGCCAACGCTCTATCCACTGAGCCAAACCAGCCAGGGCTAGGCTTTTATTATATAGGATGTTATATGTGATCGTACATATAGTATTTACTTCGTAAAATATGTAATGTTATTTTGAAGTATTTAACACTAAGTTGCAGACATCATGACACTTTCAGTCTTCATTCATACTTTCTGTTTTATGAATCAGGATTCAGCCAAGGTTCATATATTGCATTGGATTTTGTTTCTTTAGTCTCAAACTAAAAGAGTACAGTACTTTTATATTTTTTCTTTGTGACATGTGGTTATTTGTGTTTGTTCTCTACTAGATTATAACTTCTTGATAATCGCTTCCCAGTATGTTCGAAGTTGTCCCCTCAACTCAAACCCTTGTTTAGTGTTAATTTTAATATGTCTATCACATACTAAGCACCTAAAAAACCTATCTGTTAAATGAATGAAAAAACTTAAAAAGATGCCTCATAGTACCTTGCAAGTGGTCAGGTAGAAGTTTTTCAAGGACTGTGCATTTTAAGTTTTTTGCTATTTTTTGTGCTTTTGACCTACAACTTATGCAACCATATTATGTAAGTTCTCTGGTAACACCTACATTGTAGAAATTCCATCAGTTTATGTAGAGAAGTTGCCAAGAATAGTTTCATATAATATAACATATCTCTCAGAGGACTCTACCTCTTTGCCTTCTCTCGAGAGGTTTGCTTTAAGCAGATTTCCTACTAGGTTAGTTTCATTCTGCAAGTATGCAAGTAAGTATTGGATATAAATATAGTCAAAGTAAACAAAAGTATGATTTAGAAGCATCATTGTTATTGAAAACCATCTGTAGGCCTGTATCTTTTAAAAAGCACTTTGTCTACCTCTTTAAAATCCTCAAGTCACAAATACAGTTCCTTGTTTGTATTTTCATAGATTTTTTGATAAAATAACAAGTCTGCTACTTGTTAAATCATTTATGGACTTTTTAAAGCCTGTCAGTGTTTAACCATTAATACTCGTTGTACTAATGTATGCTTTCTTTAAAAGTCCAATTCATAATACACCTCTTTTTAGTAAAAAAAAAACAAAAATTTTGTGCAGACATGCATATATAGCTTATAAAAAGCTAAAGCTATCATATGCTTTATCAACCAAACCAGGCCAAAGATACAGCACAAGCACTATTAATAATTGTCCTGAGATAATGAGCACAAATTCGGACTTTTCTGGCCATAAACTGGGACTGTTCTAGGCAAACCAGGAAATATAGTCATCCTGCTTAAAACGAAAACTAATTTTTTGCCCCATCCTACCTCATTCCCAATCCCATTTTCCAAAGGCAGCAACCCTCAACTTTTTAGCTCTTTTAGGATTTACTTTCATATTTCCAAATGATGTATTTAAACTGTTTATGATTTTTCAATATTCTCTTAGTTTTCCTTACTCACCGTTGTCTTTTTTATTTCCCCTACCCATCTTCATCCCATAGCATATTTGTCGCAAATCAATAGCCTAGTTATATAATTATAACTGTAAATATTGTGTTCATCCCAAAACAATACCTTCTTTCTTGTACAATAGCTGTTTTCCCAACTTAGAAAATTAATTTATTAAACTGCCGTTTGCTCAGCATTTTTCCAATTGTATCATTTTTGCCAGAATAGTTTCTATTAGATGCTTTTTTTTTTTTTCTTAGTACTTTACTTCCATTATCTATGATCCTGCTCCAGTCTCAATAAGTTCCCTATGCTTTCTTCATACCTTTGTAAACTTCCCTGGGTATTGTGTTTGGTTCTTTAGTTCCTTGCACTCCTATTTTTCTACCACATGCTCTTTTAGCTTCCTTTGGTTTTTGTTTTGTGATTGATTTCTTTAAAATATTTTTAATTTTTTTTTTTATTGACTTCAGGTAGAGAGAAAGAGATAGAGAAACATCAGTGATGAGAGAGAATCATTGATCTGCTGCCTCCTGCACGCCCCCCTACTGGGGTTTGAGTGAGCCTGTAACCCAGGCATGTGCCTTGACCAGGAATCTGAACCCTGGTCTCCCGGTTCATAGGTCGACGCTCAACTGCTGAATCACACCAGCCGGGCATGTGATTGATTTTTTTAAAGATCTTGATGTCTCAAAATGTGTCCTCTCCATCTCACATTCAGTTGTCAGATTGGAATTCAAGGCTAAACACTCTTTTCAGTATTACAGTCATTACTTCATTATCTTAAAAGTTTTTAAAGTTGTAATGAAGAAGCCACTCTAATTACTTTTGTATGTAACCTGCTATTTCACTCTCATAACTTTCTTTTATTTCTGGTGTTCTGAAATTTTAAGATGCTAATTTGTGCTTAGTGTTAGTCTCTCTGATTTGCTGAGTACCTTAGTCCTTTCATTGTATGAAGATTTATATCCTTAAATCCTAGAAAGGTTCTTTGATTCCTCTGATAACTTTTTCTTTATTTTCTCTCCTCTCCTTCTGTAACCATATTATAGTCTAATCATAACTCCCCTTGACAGTTCTCCTATTTTTAATTTACTAGCACATTTTCTACTTCAGGGAGGTTCACTCAACTTGTTTATGTTGATTATTTCAATATCACATTTTTAAAAATACCACATTTTGAAAATGCACAGCACATTGTAGTCTGATTGCTTTCTCAAGCATCCTGTTATTATTTTATAAATGAACGTCTTATCCCTTTGAGGACAGTAATTAGCTCCTTTCCTCACATTTTCTCTAAATTTTTGTTGTTTACTTTGGTCATTATATTAGAGGCCTTCCTTGGATGCCTGGTGATCCTTGATGTTTGTGTATTAGAGGGAAGTACTAAAGAGCTGATTAGAAACTCTTGGTGACTGTGTTGTAGGGTAGGATGATCAAGTGGCTAGCTAGCTACTTTGCAATTGGGAGCATTCCAAAGGTTGACATCCAGAAATCCTAACTCTGGTGTTTTGTTTGGTGATCCAAGAGTAAAATTAAAATCTCTCAGTCTTCCAATAGCATTGTAGGAACAATCAGGAAAGAGTCTTAGCATTATCTATAATAATACAAGGGTAATATGCTGACTAGACATCTTCCAGACAAAGCCACGGTAGCAGGGAGAGCAGTTAGGGGCGATCAGGTCGGCCGGCAGAGCAGTTAGGGGGATTAGGCCAGCAGGTGAGAGCAGTTAGGGGGATCAGGCCAGCAGGGAAGAGCAGTTATGGAGATCAGGCCAGCAGGGAAGAGCAGTTAGGGGGATCAGGCCAGCAGGGAAGAGCAGTTAAGGAGGATCAGGCAGGCAGAGCAGTTAGGGGCGATCAGGCAGGCAGGTGAGCAATTAGGAGCCAGGGGTCCTGGATTGGAGAGGGTGCAGGCTGGGCTAAGGGGACACCCCCTCCCCCCATGCACGAATTTCATGCACCGGGCCTCTAGTGTTTTAATAAAAGTATGTATAAAGTGGAGGCACAAAAAGAAAAGTGCTTGTTTTAAGACCTTATCCAGGAATTGAATGGGGAATGTGTAGACTTTTCCAGACACATACAAAGACCTGTGAAAGCATTTTGTGTTAAGGGGTGTACAAATAGCTAATGTTCATGGTAAGAGTATTGAACACCAATAATAGGTAAGAATAGCAAGATAATCAAGGCAAATTGGTGTAGGAGTTTTTATGGAGAAAAAAATTGAATAAGGAAAAGAGCCCAGGCTTTGGAAACAACAAACCTCAGTTCTTCATCTCACTTTCATTATGTGTGCTTCATATTATGGACAGTAGGGAACCTTTGATAGATTTTGAACCTCTGCCTTATAGAAGAGGGGTGGGGTGATGATAGTCTTATAATTTATCATGCTACACACTAGAGTATAGTTAATTTGCATGGGTAATTCTTGATTTGAGCTGCATGCTTTCCCAAAGGCAATTCATCAAAATTTGTACCTCACAGGAAACCTTAAGAATGGAGTCTAAACCTTCAAGGATTCCAAGAAGAATTTCTGTTCAACCCCCCGGCTCTTTAAGTGCTAGGATGATGTCTGGAAACAGAGGAAGTAGTTTAAATGATACCTATCACTCAAGAGACTCTTCATTTAGACTGGATTCTGATTATCAGGTAATTTCTTAATATGGAATATATATACAGTCTCTCTTTCAGAATCCTTGGGGCCATGTGTGTCTTGGATTTTAGGTAAGTAGTAGAATATGTTTAGAATACCCTTAGCTGAATTTGAGGCTCAAAACTTATGTCTGCAGCAAAATGAATGATCATTTATAGCAAGCAGCAAAAACTTAATGGTTTTCAAACTTCTGGAACTTCAGAATTATGAATGAGGAATTGTGATCTTACTAAAAATGATCATACTTTCCAAAGACTTGGAAGCTTTTTTACCTAAAAAAAAAAAGTGTCAATTTAAGTATACATTTAATTAAATTAATCTATTCAGGTGACTGTCTGAAAACTGGAAATTGCATCCTTTTTCTTTAACGTTACATTCATATATCTGATTTTTCTCTGTGAGTATACATGGCAGTGGTAGAATAGTCATTGTTAAGTGTTTGTTTTGTTTTTTTGCAATATGGACAAATTTTGGGACTTTTATGGTTAGTAATGATTGCACTAATTCATAATCTATATAAAGCTACATGTGCTACTCTTTTTTAAAAAAATACATTTTATTGATTTTTAAAAAATATATATTTTTTACAGAGAGGAAGGGAGAGGGTAGAGAGTTAGAAACATCGATGAGCGAGAAACATCAATCAGCTGCCTCCCGCACACCCCCCACTGGAGATGCGCCTGCAGCCAAGGTACATGCCCTTGACCGGAATCGAACCTGGGATCCCGTAGTCCAAAGGCCAACGCTCTATCTACTCAGCCAAACTGGCCAGGGAATTTTATTGATTTTTTACAGAGGAAGGGAGAGGGATAGAGAATTACAAACATCGATGAGAGAGAAACATTGATCAGCTGCCTCCTGCACACCCTGTACTGGGGATGTGCCCGCAACCAAGGTACATGCTCTTGACCGGAATCGAACCCGGGCCCTTCAGTCTGCAGGCCAATGGTCTATCTACTGAGCCAAACCGGTTAGGACTGCTACTCTTAATATAACTAATTTTCCTTCAGTTTTTGGAAAGGTTTATTAGGGTTATAACATAGTAGTTGTATAAAGCTATAAATCTTAGATGGCCTGACTTGTAAGTTCAGTGCAATTTATCTTGTCTTTTACATTTAAGTTTATTGCATTATTGTCTGAACAGCTAATTAAATCACACTTAATTTGCTAGAGTCTGATGTTTTGGTAACTGAATCTTAAGAGAATTCTTTAATGAAAATTTCTGTCAGGTATTTTATATCTATGTATCATGTGATATAGTATATGACGTTTACTACATAGTAAAAAACATTTTATAAAATATTTAGAGAAAGACAAGTGAAAAGTAATTTTTCTAAAATGTCCATATCTACATACAAACTCATAAACATTATATGAACTATTTACTTAATCTCATTTTCAATATTAATTGATATTGTGGATTTTTGTTTTGTTTCTTAATTTTGTTGGTAGACAAGTGTATACTTGCCAGTGGCCCAGAATCACATCCTTTGTATTCTATAGAAATGCTGTAGGTTAAATGATGTTTTACTTCCTAAGAGCACAGAATTGTCTTGTGTGTCCCCCGCCCCCCATATTTATAGAAATTTCTCTTCTGATGCTTGTATAATTTTTCATACAGCCTCTTAGTGAGAAACACAAGACTCTGAAATCAGACTATATGGCCTGGATTGGAGTATTGTTTCACTCATAGCTATGTGAACTTGGGCAAGCAAGTTACTTCACATCTTATTTTCCATATTATTTAGTCAATTGGGTTGTTAGAGTTAAATGAATTAATACATTGAATGAGAATAGAGCTGCCACATGGTAAACACTACATAAATGTTAGCTTCTACATTTTTTTATTTTAGTTACGCTATGGATTAAATAATAATGGAAACACCTTATTTTTATATAATGCTTGACATTTCATGAATATTTTTGGCTTTTAGTTTTACTTATATAGGACACATACTTGTCATTTCATAAAATAAGGATCTAAAATCTGGAAAGATTAGTGATTTTTCTTAGAAAATCACATGATTAGTAAATATGTTCCTGAGCTTAAGAATCTATTAGACTTCTGGATAGCTTTGTTTCTTCTTTGGGGAAATGGAGGTTCTAAGTTTCGAACAATTGATTTGCTAAATATATTTGGATTCTCGGCCATTTGAAAGCCATGTTGCCTCTATTGTTAATCTTGCTGATACTTCTGTTCCTCCATCTTTAAATTTTGGTTACAATTTGAATGGTTGAAAACTATGATCATCTCCTCTCTTTGGTAACAGTAAGCAGAATTTTAGATATTTTAAATAGAAATTTTATTTCCTATTAGACTGTTGATAATAAAAAATTTGGGAGTATTCTATGAATATGTAATTGTTTGTTATTTTTCTATGTTTCCTATAATTTAATTTAAGCAGCTTTTCCTGTTTTTGTTTTTTTGCTTTGTTGATAGTGATTACTTTTAATATGAAATAATAAAGTAGGTTTTTTATGAGGTTTATGAGGTTCTAGGTGCTTTTTTCAGTTAGTGATATCTTTTATAATTTGTAGATCAACTATTATAGAACTTAATACCATTGCATATACTTAAATAGTTATGTTTCTAGAGAATTAAAGGATTAAAAGATTTAATTTTTGTGTGTATATGCTTATCTACTATAAGTACTTCCCATGGAAATAAATATGTATATACATGTGAATACATGTATTCATGTATGACCCATGAGAGTGGGTCAAGGTTATAACATCGAGAGGCATTCATAAGCTCTGCAGTGTTTTAAAGTTAAACTTGGACTCTTTCTTGTTCTGGGTGCCAGGAAGATCACACGGAAGAACAACTAGCTTTATAAGGTGTTTTGTTCATAAGGAAAAGAAATAACCCATTTCTCAAAGGAAGCAACCCTGTAGCACTCTGGTCTGAAAGGGGACAGTGAATAATATAATCGACTGTTGTCATGTAATATTCATACTATAAGTGTATATACCTAGCATAGTGAAACTGCTATCTTCTGTCCAGTCTACCCTTTTCATCTTCTACAGTGTTCTGAGGATATTTCTAAGAAGTTGATCTGATAGTATTTCCTCCTTGGGTAGTTTCCAAAATCATATTTATTTGCAGAAGAACTATTCAGTAACAATTTGTGTAGTCCATGCATAATTAGAAAAATAAGGACAAGTTATGGATTTTGTGCATATAAAATGTATTCACATTAAAAGTCTGTTTAATTCTATTATAACCCTCATGTTTGGGGAGCACATAAAATGCCCTTTTTAAAAATTTGTAGATAAGATCTGGCCGGTGTGGTTCAGTTGGTTATAGCGTCATCCCATACACCAAAAGGGGGCAAGTTCGATTCCTATTTAGCGTACATACCCAGGTTTGATGATCCCTGATCAGGGCGTGTGGGGAAGGCTACCTATCCATGTTTCACTCTCTCTGTCTTCTCTCTCCTCTCCCTCTCCCCCTTTTTTAGCTCTAAGATCAGTTTTTTTTTAATGGGGGTAAGATTAGATGGTATTTGCTATTTTAGATCTCCTTGTCAAAAGTGGCTCTAAATTTTAAATTATAACATTTTTTGTTTTGTTCTCTGAAATCTAAAGGTGTTAAATCACTGGCATGCAGGATAATTTTCCCAACACCCTGATAATGGCACATAAAATGATTTGGTTTTGAAATACCTAATGAATTTATCTCTTGTGCCAGCACAGTTCATTGATTGGGGGCAGAAGGCTTGTGATACCAAGCTTGTGCTAAGCTGAAGAGTGCCACATTCAACTACCAAAATATTCTTGGGCAAGGGATGGATAAAATCCTGATCTAGTCTGTTCATACTTTTTCAGCTTTACATCTTTTGCTTTTCCATATATGTGAAGTTTATTCTGTAGAATTTCCTGAATGTATGTAGTATGCTTCTCATAATTTAAGCATAATAGAAGATCAAGTAATGTAGTAATGCTTTAGAACACTAATAGCCAACCTTTCGGACCTCATGGACCACGGGTTGGCGACCGCTATTTTAGAAGAATGCCCATGGTAGAGGGGTTTATGAATCTTTTTGTGTTGTTTATAATACTCCTCATTTGCCTACAAGTGAACTCTGTCTCATTCTATGAATTTTCTCCTACTCTCCCCAGGCATAGTTAGGCATTCTCTTTTCTGTGAAACTTTGAACATAACCTCCTATTATAGCCTTACAGTAGGTCCTCGGGTTACGTTGAAGATCTATTTCTACGGTGTGATGTAACACGATTTTCACCGTAAGTCGGAACCCACCTACATAAGCACGTACGTCACTCACATGGGGCACATACACAGCAATAATGAAGTGAAACAGTAAAAAAAGATTTAAAAGATAACAATTCCTGACCTTTACATGTGGTAAATAAATAATAAAAAACATAAAGCACATATATACATATGTCGAAATGACAGAACTTTTTTTTATATAAATCAATGGGAGATGGTGACGTAACCATGAAATGATGTCATCGAATCCAACGTAACCCAAGGACTATCTCTATATTATAAGTAGAGGTCTGGTGCACAAAATTCGTGTGTGGGTACAGTCCCTAGGCCTGGCCATCTTCAGGGCCATCTTCCCCAGCTGCTGCAGCCGGCCCTATCCCCCACTGCCACCCACCCCCAGTTCCCCGTTCATTATGGGGCAATCGGAGCCTGATGACTGGGAGAAGGGACTGAGAGGTGGTCAGTGCACCTCATAGTGACTGGTCAAGCAGTCATTCTGCCGTTCGGTCGATTTGCATGTTACTCTTGTATATACATAGATTTCTTATTGTTTCTTATATTTACTCTAGAACTCTTTGATGGTGCACATTATTTGGGGTTTATATTTATCATTAGAATGTTAGGTTAACAGACTGAATTTATGGCTCATGTTATATTCCATTTTTCACCCTTGTCAAGAAGTATAACACTTAAAAGAACATTGTTTTTCTTTTTTAAGATTCTTTAATAAGATGAACTGTTTATCACATATTAAAATTATTATAAAACATTTTTATTTTCTCTAGAACTCACTTTTATTTTAGTCAATTTAGGACCATTTCTATAATTGTGGTTAAAATATGTTCTTATTTAAACCTGTGTTTTTAAGGAGACAAGCTAATATTTTCTCTTTTTAGGCATTATGTTAGGTATACTGCCTAATCATTTAATGAATTAGGAAGAAGTAAAATAGTTTGTACATTGTGAATAACTTGTGTATTGGGTTGTTTTACTTTTTGTGTTTTAGGTTGTTTTATTTTGTGTACGTCAGTTTATACGTTAATAGAGAAAACCTTGAGCAAAGAGTTTTAAAATATGCACCTTTTTTATCTACTTCACTGACGAAGAGATTCCAGATAATTGGGTTGTAGTTTCTTTTTTAAAAAAAACATACTGTTTATAGTGTATTACTATATTCTTAACAACATTAGATTCAGGATAAATTTTTTATTACTTGAAAAATTTTCATAAGACTGTTCACAATCAGTTTATATATTAGTGTCTTTCTTGGCATTCTGTCCACCTTTAAGAACAGGAAACAGGTTCCTCAGAAGGTTGAAATGAATAAAGTTTTTGCTCTTGAGTATTTCCTAGCTAGATGTTTATATACAGTTACATAGAAGACTTAATCTAATTCAGATTTATTACTCAACCATATACAATTTCAGTATAAAATAAAGGGACAGTGGGTTATAGGGAACAAAGATTATGGAAAACATACATGATAGAAAAATTTGGTCCTTGGGAATATTGTCAATTAAATTTAATATTGAATGCAAGCATTTTATTCCTTTAAAAATTTTTTTTTAATTTAACAGTCTACATCTGCATCGGCAGCTGCATCTCCATTTCAATCTGCATGGTATAGTGAATCTGAGATAACTCAGGGTGCACGCTCAAGATCACAAAACCAGCTACGGGATCATGATTCAAAAAGACCTAAACTTTCCTGTACAAACTGTACATCTACCTCAGCTGGGAGAAATATTGGACATGGTTTAAATGCGGTATCAGGTAAGAATTAAATTTATCTAAGGGTTACACCATATGTATTTTGGACTAAAGCTCTTTTCCCGAGACCCGGTATATATTAGGCAAATAGAGCCAGTGGAGTTTCCAACATCCTCCCTTACTAGTTAATTAGTGCTGGAATTAAAATTAACTAGAATAGCCGAAAATGTATGGCGATCAAATTGGTAAAAGTGACATGTATTCTTCTGTTGTTATAGGAGGTAAATTTTTTGTTAGTAGGAAAGCCAATTTTTCTGAAGTGGACAATTATTTTCAAAGCACATCTTCTATATCTTCTTTAGCTATAAAAACCTAATATACAAAGGATCCCCTCAGGAGTTTGACTGACCAGGAGTTCTATCGCTTGCTGTGATGTGCGCTGACCACAAGGGGGCGGCACGGAACAAAGGGAGGCCCTGGCTGGCAGCCAGCAGTTGCTAGGGCCACTACCCGTGCACGAATTTTGTGCACTGGGCTTTTTAGTCTTTTATAAATGAGAAACGTGGTATATATTGCTTAGAAAATATGAAAATTCTTTATTTAAAAAATAGTTGGTGGTATTCCACTAGTTTTATGGTAGGAATCAGAAAGCCATGATTCTAGCCCTCTAATTAGATGTTGGCATTGTACAAGTCACTTAACCATTTAGTGGTTTATTTGTAAAGCTTTATGCTTGGTATTTTTGTACTCAGACATATTTGTTGTACAAATTAAAACATCTTTTAAGATGTTAGGAGCCTCCCTCCTCACTTATACTCTTTTTTTTTTTTTTTTTTAAATATATATTTTATTGATTTTTTACAGACAGGAAGGGAGAGAGATAGAGAGTTAGAAACATTGATGAGAGAGAAGCATCGATCAGCTGCCTCCTGCACATCTCCTACTGGGGATGTGCCTGCAACCCAGGTACATGCCCTTGACCGGAATCGAACCTGGGACCCCTCAGTCCGCAGGCCGACGCTCTATCCACTGAGCCAAACCGGTTTTGGCCTCACTTATACTCTTCAAATGAAACACTGTCCAATGCCTAAAATTGTTTTAAGGTGGTACAAAACTTGTGATGACAGGATTGGATATAAAATTCTTAAAATGCATATGTATTACCAAATAAATTAGTGTAAGCAATTTCTTTATATATTTTTTTAAAACATGTTTTTATTGATTTTTAGGAAAGGAAGGGAGGGGGTAGAGAGAACCATCTAGGTGAGAGAAAAATCAATCAGCTGCCTCCTGCATGCCCCCTACTGGTGATCAAGCCAAGACTTGAGCAGGATAGAGTTTAGTGTTACAGAAGAATGTGTTTTAATAGGAAGTAATTTTGTAAGTGATGAGTTCATTTAGTGAATAATTTTATGTTTTGCTAAATTTTTAATATATTTTTATTGATTTCAGAGAGGAAGGGAGAGGGATAGATGGAAACGTCAGTGATGATAGAATCATTGATCCACTTGCTGCTTCCTGCACACCCCCTACTGGGGATTGAGCCTGCAGCCCAGGCATGTGCCCTGACCTGGAATGGAACAATGACCTCCTGGTTCATAGCTTGACACTGAGCCATACCAGCCACACTGTTTTGCTAAATTTTACTTCTGATTACAACTGTGTAACTACAGAGATTTCTGTAATAAATTACAACCTCCCTGTGTAGTACAGAAGATTTTTTTTTTTGTCATTAGAAACCTTAAAAGCTCTCTCTGAATTAAAACTTCTTTGATTATTTTAAGATTCTTGGAGACATAGTCAAGTTCCCAGATCTTCATCAGTGGTACTTGGATCATTTGGAAGTGACTTAATGAGAGAGAGGAGAGATTTAGAAAGGAGAGCAGATTCCTCCATTAGTAATTTTATGGACTATAGTCACCGAAGTAGTGATTTCACAACTTCATCGTGTATGTATAAACTGTATTGTTACATATAACTTAATCTGACAATGTTGTTTTCCTCTTTATATCACTAAATTACAGTACAAAAGAATAAATGAAGTGAATTTTATGGAAATTTTAAAACAGTTTAATGTTTCCTACTACCTTATTTGTTGGCTTTTAAAAATGTAAACAGTTCAAAAGTGCATGAATATCCAGATTCTGTGTGCCGATAAATTTTTTACTTGCTCTTTTAAGAACATATGTGCCATGAAGTATACTAAACAATTCTTGTATATTCCAGTATAATTTGCCTTATGTAATGTAATAAGTAACCAATTATAGTTAAATTCTAAACTAAATAAAGCTTGAAATCACCATTTTAAGACAATTTAAAATTACCTTAATTTAACACAAATGTGCCTTTGTTTTCTTTTACCCACACTGTCAGTGCACATAAGCTTGAGCTTTTTAAACATAATTACCATAAAACAATAATATTAAGTAACTGAAGATGGAAAGTGCTGATGAAGTAGACAAATATAGCAGGCAAAAGTGGAGCTTGATTTACGTAGAAGATACATTTGTTTCTAAAGGTTAAGTTTATTTTAAATAATCATATTGGGGCATATCTTTGCTTTATTTAAGACAAATGAAAACATCTTTTTATTTGCTTGGCTTTGAATGGATGACCTTTAGTAGATAGTATCAATAGGTTCTAGATTTGGGAATATAAAAGTACTGGGTAGAATAGATTTATCCACTAACAGCTTCTTTTTTCCTGAGGCTGCATGTATTAGCGCAGTAGTAATTTAGCTTTTAAGTTAGGTGTATGGGTAAGCATTCTTTATAAAGGAATGCTATAGATTTTCTCATCCCTATGAATTTTAGAACCACCAGTGGTGTACTTTTAAAATTTTAGATGTCAGGACTTTATTCTGACTCATAGCTCTCAGCCAGTATTAAAAAGCAAAGGTATTTTAGAAGAGTAACCAGGGATAAGAATCACTGCTGTTACATTGAGGAGGGCCGGGGCACTTTTAGCTGTTAGCAGAGTTTGCCATAAAATTACAAGGGTGATAATACCTATATGAAATAACCGTTATGCTTTCTGCAGAGTAAGAAAAATCTCCCAAACACTGTTTCCTAGGATTATTTTGCTTTTGTTTGTTTTGGTTTTGGTATTTTTAATTTAAAAAAAATCTTTATTGTTGAAAGTATTATTTGTCCCCCATTTCCCCCATTGATCCTTCTAGCCCACCCCCACCTCGAGTTTTTATTTGTTACAAGAGTTGTTTACATTGACTTATTTGGCACATTTAAAATTCCTTATTTGTTTAAATGTTAGATATTCTACCATATCAATTTCTGATCAGCAGATTCAGCTGTTTTACATTCATCAAGTTGGTAGATTGATGTTTGCCTCTCATAAGCGCTCATTTCTTTTTAGATTCTGTATAAAGTATAATATTGACTTTATATAAAAGTGCTAGATTTCACCAAATGTATAGAAAGAGAAGCACATTTATGGTTTTTTTCTGTAATAATAGTTAAGCTGTGTAGTTAAAATGTAGCAGTATTCAGTTTCAAACCAGTGTTTTCATTTTGGCAGTAATTAGTCATTAATAAATGCAAGTTTTATTAGTAGTCTATTTCATGTAATTAGCTATTTTCCTTTCTTTCAAAAACAGATGTTCAAGACAGAGTTCCTTCTTCATATTCACAGGGAGCAAGACCAAAAGAGAACTCAGTGAGCACTTTACAACTGAATACATCATCCACAAACCAACAAATGCCTTCTGAACGCCAGTCTGTACTGTGCTCTAGGGATTCTAGTAGAAATTCTGTAAGATCAAATTTTTCTCCAAGAGAATTGGAGTCTCTCCAAAGCAATACACAGCCTGGATTTTCTTATATTTCAAATAGAGGTGATACCTCAACCATAAGCAATTCAGATAGGATTGGTTCATCTCAAAGATCATTTCAAGAATCTTCTGACAATGAAGGTAGACGTACAACAAGGAGATTGCTGTCACGTATAGCTTCTAGCATGTCATCTACTTTTTTTTCACGAAGGTCTAGTCAGGAATCCTTAAATACAAGATCATTGAGCTCTGAAAATTCATATGTTTCTCCAAGAATTTCTTCACAGTCTCGTAATGCAGTATCAACTTCTGATGTTCTTGATAATAGGGCATCTGAAGCTTCTCAGGGATTTCGATTTCTTAGGCGAAGATGGGGTTTGTCATCTCAAAATCATAGCACTGAGCCAGATTCAGAAAATTTTAACCAAGAATCTGAAGGTAGAAATACAGGACCCTGGTTATCTTCCTCACTTAGAAATAGATGCACACCTTTGTTCTCTAGAAGGAGGCGAGAGGGACGAGATGAATCTTCAAGGATATCAACTTCTGATACACAATCTCGATCTCATATTTTTAGAAGAGAATCAAATGAAGTGGTTCACCTGGAAGCACAGAGTGATCACCTTGGGGCTGCTGCCAACAGATCACAAACACCTGCAGCATCGAGCAGTGCTGCTACAGGTGGCTCCATGTCAGATTCGGCTCGCAGTGGAAGAAACACAGGAATGACAGGGATCCTTCCTGGTTCCTTGTTTCGATTTGCAGTCCCCCCATCACTTGGAAGTAATTTGACCGATAATGTCATGATCACTGTAGATATTATTCCTTCAGGTTGGAGTTCATCTGGTGGGAAAAGTGATAAAACTAAAAGTGCACCTTCAAGAGACCCAGAAAAACTGCAGAAAATAAAAGAGAGGTAAATTTAAATACCTGTCTTAATCCCATAAAGCAAGGGTAGATTAGAGAAAAAAGTATTTCTAAAATTTTAGGCTTCTTATAACATTAATATCTAAAATTTGTTCCCCTGGGCCCTGGCTGGTTTGACTCAGTGCATAGAGTGTCGGCCTGGGGCCTGAAAAGTCCTGGGTTCAATTCTGGTCAAGGGCACATGTCTGGGTTGTGGGCTCGATCCCCAGTTGGGGACGTGCAGGAGGCAACCAGTCAATGATTCTCTCTCAACATTGATGTTTCTATCTCCTCCTTAATTCTCTAAAGTCAATAAAAATAAAATAGAATTTGTTCCCTTGAAATTTATAGTAAGATGTTAGCATTGATGTTACCTCTTAAAGGTAAAATGGATGAGAGTTAATAATGGAAGTAGGCACTAAGGTGTCTACTACATGAAGAAATAATCTAAAGATTATTTTTAAACAGGTTTGGATACAGAAGCACACAAAGATAAAAATGTTAATCTCTTAGACTAGTCCTTGGTAGACTAGTGCCAAATTGGATTCGTAAGGAGACCCAAGTGGTTATGGATTATTAAGATGATTTATTTACTATTTATTTGTAATTCTCACCTTTTAAACATAAAATTATTTACACATTTTTAATTTTGTTTTTAAAGTTCCAAGTATATACTGTATATTCTTTATTTGATAGACCAGTTTAAATTTCAGACTTTTAAAGAATATACTAATCTTCTGTACAGTTGAAGTTTGCTTTAAAATGTCTGGTAAAAGTGGAAAGGTGAAAGATCAGAGATTATAGAACCAATTAGATTATTAATTTTATCATATTTTTCCATCTAGTAAAGTAATTTTAATGAAATGGGATAGGGTAGTACATATAAAATATAGGAAGAAAAGACTGTAAAGCTAAGGTTATAGAGTGTTTTGTTGTTTTTTGTTCATAAAGGCCTAATGTAATTTGGGGGGAACATAGCTTTTACTATCATTTTCAATAATTTTTTTTGTACTTTTAAGAAGAAATACATTCAAGTCTAATTCTGGGAATAAAGGGAACTTCACACGCTTTCTGAGATGTTGGGCGTTAGGCTACTATATTCCATTTTTCCTTATAAAGGACAAATTATACCATGTGACTCTTCCTGCTTTTAAAATTTCTGATTTTTCCTTTCTTGGAGAAAGATTTACTCTCTGCCCTGATAGTATTAGTTTAACATTATTGTAGCAGCTCCCTCTAATTGCAAGCTGTCTACTGAAGAATGTAGTTATCACTATTACAGCTATTATAACTAATAGTTATAAATATTTCATGTGCCCAAGTAAGGTTTATTTGAGTGCAGTGATGTAAGCAGCAGGTTAATTTAATGTTTTCCAGAGAAACAAGCTGGCACCATCCTCTCTGGTTGGTTTTACAAAATTTGTTGGTTATTTTGCCATAGAATTTGTGTGTGTGTAACCCTTTATTGTACTTTTTGCTCATGAGGATTTTAAGGCACTACATTTAAATTATAGTAGTGCCCTCTTACCTGTGCTTTCACTTTTTGTGGCTTTAGTTATTTGTGTTCCAAAAATATTAAATGGAAAATTCCAGAAGTAAATAACTCATAAATTTTATATTGTATGCTTTTCTGAGTATCTTGATGAAATCTCATTCCACCTGGCTCTGTCCTGTTTATGATGTGGTTCATTCCTTTGTCCAGCTTGTCCACCCTGTACAAACAGTACAATAAGATACTTTGAGAGACCACATTCACATTACTTTTATTACAGTATATTGTTGTTATCACTCTGTTTCATTAGTTGTTAATCTTTTATTGTGCCTAATTTATAAATTAAACTATGTTCTAGATAAGTATGTGTAGGAAAAACATAATATATATAGGGTTTGGAATTGGAGATCTTGATATGTACCCCTTGAATATTGGGGGGGTGGGGAAGCTACTATAATAAGAGTGCAAAAAAATTGCATCTCCCAAGTAAAGAATAATTAAAACAATGAACTGTAGAAATTTAAATCTAAAGGTAAAACAAAAATTTATGCTTGAAGGCATACCTCTGGTTAAACCAGGGCATGAAAGTTACCTAGCAGCTGTATACCTATTCCTCTTTCCACACATCTACTAATATTGCTAAATTTATTGTGAACCAATATAATCCAGATTTTATTTCAATAATAGCATTCAGTATAATCAATTTACTGAATACCTCTTTCATGCTAGCAGTGGGCTAAGCCAATAGGGATTTTAACAAAAAATTAATTTATTATACAGCTAATATTCTACATTTAAGTTATTCTACATGTCAGCCTATTAAGTAGAGTATATAGGTTAATGGAAATTGCTCCACATTTAAAAGCCTACCAAAGAGGATTTACTAACATAATATTGCTGGGGATGGGTAAATGGAAAATTTTTAAATCTAGTTTGTTTTTTCTGTAATGTAATACAAAAAGCTTATCAGTTTGAACATAATGTTGTTCTGACAATATGTAAATGAGAAGTCACTAGTCTGTATTTCTTCAAGGCATTCAGGTTGTTTTAAAAGGTTTTGGAGAGATGGGGGGTGGGGGTGGGATTGAAGTAGTCTATGATACTACAGAAATTAAAATCTCTCAGGGGTACTTGTAAAGTGACTGAAAAATATGGAACTTAAACACTAGTACCAAAGACAAAATTACTTAAATAATTGGAAGATAAGTAATAGGATAGTTTATTTTATTTACCTTTAAAATATTTATTTTAATTTCCATTGTTAAGGTTTTTCATGGTGGTTGCTGTTTATTGTTACTGTTGTTTTTTCCTAATCAGAGAAAGAGTAGAAATAAAAGAAAGGTATTGTTTGGGATTATATATGACTGGAAATGACCAATCAGGATTAGCTTTGATAGCTCTGTTTAGGAAATCTGCCTTATTTTCCAGCCTCCTTTTAGAGGACTCTGAAGAAGAAGAAGGTGACTTATGTAGAATTTGTCAGATGGCAGCTGCATCATCATCTAACTTGCTAATAGAGCCATGCAAGTGCACAGGAAGTTTGCAGTATGTCCATCAAGAGTGTATGAAAAAGTGGTTACAGGCGAAAATTAACTCTGGTAAGATTTAACCTTTTTGTGTATTTTGTTTCCACAATTTTTCCAAGAGATGTATGCATGAATGCATATTAATTAACAAATCATTACAATTTATTGTCAAATTTATATTCTTACCAAAGTGTCTTGATCATTTTTTGAAGCAAAAACATTAAAGCGCATTAGTCTTGTATCATAACTTCAATTTATACTATTTTTAATATTTCATTTATCCAGTAGACAATTTACTTCAGAGTTATAATATAACTATAATTTGTTATTGCTAGGTAACCATTATATCATGTAAGATCCTTTTGAAGAGATTTGTTTCTAATGTTGTTGTCTAATGTTGTGCAGAGATAATGTTACTGTAGAGACTCATTTGTGTCTTGAGTAAGCACCTGTTGTGAAACCAGGCACAGTTCTATATGTGAGGTATAAAGTGATAAACAAGACAGAGGAGGTACTTGCCTTATGGGGTAATATTGCGTGTTAAAGGAATGACTTGTTGAGGTGATGAACAAAGAAGAGCCAGCTAATCCAGAATGAGGGCAAGAGCATTCCAGCAGAGGGAACAATTAGTGCAAAGATTTTAAAGTGGCAGTGACTTAGAACTGAATGAAGCTTGCTTGGAGTATAATTAGTGGGCAAGGAAAGGGGTGATATAGTCGAAATAAGAGAGATTAGCAGAGGCTAGCTCATTTAAGACTTCAGAAGCTAATGTCTGAAGTTAGATTTTAATTATGAGGGAAAGCCACTGAAGGGCAGGAGAGTGAAATGATCTTTTATTTTGGCTGCATTGTGGAGGGTGGATTTTAGGGGGACAAGAGTAGCAGCAGGGAAGCCAGCCATTAATCTATTGTGGCAACTAACCAGAAATCTGTCTTATAAGAGAGAGGTGGTGATGGAGGTGGTACAAATAGGTGTGTGTGTGTGTGTGTGTGTGTGTGTGTGTGTGTGTATTTTGGAGGCAGAGTCTGTAAGACTTGCCGGTGGATTGGATGTGGATTGGATGTGGTGGAGTGAAGGAGAAAACAATTAGGAAGCCCATATTTTTGTCATGAGCTGCTAAGTAAATGGTAGGTTCATTTACTGAAATAAGGAAGACTGAATTGAATAAATTTGGGAAAGGAAATCAAGAGTTCTGTTTTGAAAATATATATTAACCAGATGGAAATGTCAACTGGGCAGCTTGCTAGACAAGCTGGATATTTCACAGGGTATTAGCACTGGAAATTACAATTTTGAGAATCATGAGCTCATACGTAATATTTTTAGTATTGGGATTAAATTAGGTCATTTAGAATAAGAGCATATATCAAAGAAATTGGCCCAGGACAGAACCTTGGGACACCCAAAGGTTTAGTGGGAGCAGAGAAGGAGATTTGAGGAGTGGTCTCAGTCTAGTAAGAAAAAAAAACTTAAAAAAGAGAGTGTTGTGCAAGCCAAGAAAAGGAAGTGTTTTAAGGAGAGTGTAATCAAGCCTGTCAAATATACTGCCAAGAGATACAAACAAAGAAATGACAGTTGGATTTGGTGGCATGAATGTCCTTTGTAGCTTGTCTCTGGAGTGCTGGGGTCATAAGCATGATTAGATTGTATTGAGGAGAGAGAGAGAAAGATGGGATCCAGGGCACAAGTCAAGTAGTTAGCCTTTAATAGGAATAAAGGTACTTAAAAAAAATTACAAGAAGGCTAGTCTAGATATGGATGTTGATCAGTTGTTTAGGTGAGAAGATGCTTGGATTGCTATATAATTGCTTCTATTTTCTTAGTTAAGGGAGATAAAGGTCTTCAGATGGTTAGGGGACAGTTTTAGAGATTTTGATGTGTGGGGGAAATACCATTCTAAGGTGTTTTTAGGAAGTATCAGTTTCATAAAAAATCAGTGGCCATGAATATGATTCCCAAGTGAGATAGATACATGTAATTTTATTATTTTTTCCCATTGATTTTTTTTACTTTATTTTTTATTTATCTTTATTATTGAAAGTATTACAGATGTCTGTCTGTCGTGTGTCGTCCCCCCCCCCCCCCCCTGCATTGACACACTGCAGCCTGTACCAGCCCCTCCAGGCCTTCACCACACTGTTGTCTGCGTCCATGTGCTATGCATATAAGTTCCCCAGTTAATCTTTCCCCTCTGCCCCTAAGTCCTGCCTTTCCTCTGAGATTTGTCAGTCTGTTCCCATGCTTCTATGTCTCTGGATCTATTTTGTTCATTAGATCCACAAATGAGTGAGATCATATGATACTGATCTTTCTCTGACTGGCTTATTTCACTGAGCATAATACTCTCTAGGTTCCTGGTTGTCTCAAAGGGTGTAAGAGATCCTTCTTTTTTTACAACTGCATAGTTTTCCATGGTGTAAATGTACCACAGCTTTTTTATCCACTCATCTACGGATGGCCACTTGGGCTGTTTCTAGATCTTCGCTATTGTAAATTAATGCTCCTATGAACATAGGGGTGCATACATTCTTTCTGATTGATGTTTCTGGTTTCTTAGCAGTGGGATCACTGGGTCAAATGGCAGTTCCATTTTTAATATTTTGAGGCAATTCCATACTGTTTTCCATAGTGGCTGTCCCAGTCTGCATTCCCTCCAGCAGTGCACGAGGGTTCCCTTCTCTCCACATCCTTGCCAGCACTTGCCATTTGTTAATTGTTGATGATGGCCATTCTAACAGGTGTGACATGATACCTCATTAGCATTTTAATTTGAGTCTCATGATTAGTGACTTTGATAATTAGTGATGTTTTCCATATGTCTCTTGGCCATCCTTTACCCATTTTTTAATTGGATTGTTTGTCTTTTGTAAAGTTTTATGAATTTTTTATATTTTGGAAGTTAACCCCTTATCAGATGTATCATTGGCAAATGTTTTCCAATACAATGAGTTCCTTTTTCATTTTTTTGATGGTTTCTGTTGCTGTGCAGAAAGGAGTTTTATATTTTAATGTAGTCCCATTTGTTTATTTTTTGTTTTTTTAAATATATTTTAAAAATTGATTTCAGAGAGGAAAGAAGAGAGAAAGAGATAGAAACATCAATGATGAGAGGGAATCAATGATTGGCTACCCCCTGCACACCCCACACTGGGGATCAAACCCACAACCCAGGCTTATGCCCTGAGCAGGATTCAAACCCATGACCTCCTAGTTCATAGGTCAATGCTCAACCACTGAGCCACAATGGCTGGGCCCATTTGTTTATTTTCTCCTTAGTTTCCCTTACCCTAGGACAGCGGCTGGCAAACTCATTAGTCAGCAGAGCCAAATATCAACAGTACAACGATTGAAATTTCTTTTGAGAGCCAAATTTTTTAAACTTAAACTATATAGGTAGGTACATTGTTACTAACTTAATAGGGTACTCCTAAGCTGGCCTTTGCTAAAAACATCCTCAATCTGAGGGGTCGACCTCAGTGAACGTACCCCCACTTCTTCTAATGCCACTTCTTCAAAATAGACTTGCCCAGGCCAAAAACCGACTTCTGCGCATGGGCCACGAAGTTTTAATCACACTGTACGTGCGCGCCCTCACGTGGTATTTTGTGGAAGAGCCATACTCAAGGGGCCAAAGAGCCACATGTGGCCCGTGAGCCACGGTTTGCCGACCACTGCCCTAGGAGGTGTATCGACAAACATACTGCTACGAGAGATGGCTGAGATTTTGCTGCCTATGGTTTCTTCTAAGATTTTTATGGTTTCACGACTTAGATTTAGCCTTTTATCCATTTTTAGTTTATTCTAGTATAAATTGATGGTCTAATTTCATTATTTTGCTTGTATCTGTTCAATTTTCCCAACACCATTTATTGAAGTGTCTGTCTACTCCATTATATGCTCTTGCCTCATTGTCAAATATTAATTGAGCATACTTGTTTAGGTTGAGTTCTGGGGTCTTTATTCTGTTCCAGTGATCTATATGCCTGTTCTTGTGCCAGTACCAGGTTGTTTTAAGTACAGTGGCCTGTGATATAACTTGATATCTGGTATTGTGATCCCTGCAACTTTATTCTTTCTCAAGGTTTGCTGTGGCTATTTAGTCTTTTTTTGGTTCTATATTTTGAAGTGTTTGTTCTAGATCTATGATATTTTAATAGGGATTGCATTGAATATATAGATTGCTTTGGGTAGTATGGACATTTTAATGATGTTGATTCTACCAACTCATGAACATGTTATATTCAGAAGCAGTTTTTAGATGCTTGGCTACAGCCATAGATTTGAGTTCACTGGGGTTGGGATCTTTTTTCTTTTTCTTTTTCTTTTTTTTAAATATGTTTTGAGAGAGAGAGGAAGGGTGAGGGAGAGAAATATTGATCAGTTGCCTCCTGGGAATGTGCCCTGCCAAGAATTGAACTGGCGACCTTTTGGTGCATGGTACAATTGTAACCAACTGAGCCACAGCAGCCAGGGCAGGGTTGGGATCTTTACCGACAAATATGATGAAGGCAAGGGTATTTGTAAGACCATAATTGTGTTTATGGTAATTAAAATCAGGAGGGATAAGTACATCAGAAAATGGATAGTGAGAAAATGGTAGGATCAATCTTTGAGTCTCATTGCCATTGAAGAGAATTACCAGATTAGGTGAGTTAGAATGAGAAATTGTAGATACACAGGAGGAAAGGATGCTTAAAATAGAGATATAGGGTTAGTGCAGTAAACTGATGACAGGGCCAAGGGTATGACCATACAGTAGATTAGTTGTGGTGGGGAAAGGTAATATTGGAAGCAAGGATGTTGAGGAAGTCGGAGTCAGAAGTAAATGGTCTATGTGGATGTTGAAATAGCCAGGAATAACTTGGCAAAGGCAGGGGGAGAGAGAGAAAATGAGAATGAGCGAATGCGCGTGCAGGTGTTCAAGTCATTAATGAAGGAGGAGGGACTTGGAGGTTCAGAACAGAAATTGGGGGTCTCTTTCCCAATTTCCTGGTGTTGCGGTACAAGGGGCTTGTAAGGTCGAATAAAGCTGCAGAAGAGGCAGGGGGCACTGTGGTTCAGGCATGGAGTTGAATAGATTATTCAAAAAGATTAGTTATTAGAAGAATTTACCATGAGTACCTTTGGTAAATTCACAAGTGAGATAGATACATGTACCATGAGTACCAGAGAACATAGTGAATTGATGACTGGTAGGGTGAGAAAGATGGGACATTAGGCCAGATTAATAAATGTATGTGATTGTGTGCGATTGAATGTCTGATAGTGATACCTTGGAGACATAGGCAAATAGGTTTTGAGGTATGATAGCTTTAATTTTAATAGTCTGCTGAAGGATTCAGGTAACCTGTTGAAGCTGGAGATTGAGACTACTTGAAAACTTTTTTCCTGAAGCCAGGTAGTAAAGGTGTTTGTGTGTGGGGGGTCTTATTTTTTTCTTTTAAGCTTACCTGATTCCAAAGGATGGACCATTTCAGCTATAGCCTCCTCTTGGCTGTATGGTGTTACGACAGCCTCATAGGCTTCATTAATTAGTCACTGTGCTGGAGTGTTACTAAGATTAAATGAGTGCTCAGCGTGGTTTTTGGCACTTAGTAAAGGCCTAGAACTAGTCCCAAAATGAAAAACAATTTGACTCGCTTTCTAATACATTTGCAATGAGATTGTTAGTGTTGTATATGTAGGAAAACACATAATACAGTGTATTGTTTAAGAACATTGGCTTTTTGAAGTTGGATGAACCTAGATTGGAATAATAGCTCCAACACTTAACTGGATCTTGAGTAAGTTTTCTTAATATTTGTTCTCAACCTTGGTTACTGATCAAAGTTACCCATTAAAGTTTTATAAAATATGGATGCCTTAGATCCACTCCTGAAAGTTATTATAAGCAGAGTTGAGGTGTGTCTTCAGTTCCATCATAACTATAACTGAGTAAAACTTCCCTCGTAGGATTATTGTGAAGGTCACATGAAATGATGTTTATAAATAGTTCCTCACAGTACTGGGCACATGGTAAATACTCAAATGGGATATATAAGGTTATTAGTACTTATTAAGATAAGTACTTTTTTTTAATAATATATTTTATTGATTTTTTACAGAGAGGACGGGAGAGAGATAGAGAGTTAGAAACATCAATGAGCGAGAAACATCAATCAGCTGCCTCCTGAACACCCCCTACTGGGGATGTGCTCGCAGCCAAGGTACATGCCCTTGACCAGAATCAAACCTGGGACCCTTGAGTCTGCAGGCTGACGCTGTATCCACAAGTACTTTTAAGAAATGGTCAAATAAATATAAATATCTCAAGGACTGAGCCTTTCTGATAAATTTTCACAAGACTTTCTTATATTTATTATAAAGGCCCCATCGGGTAGAAGATTGATTCTGGTAGAGAGTGATATAAACATGCATTAAGCAGTTGCTACAAAGATGAATAAATGAAGTTTAGTGCAAATTTAGGCAAAAGTCTGGAATGTGGTAGGAAATAATGGTAAAAGAATGGGTTAAAGAATGTAGGGATAAATGGGTTCCTCCTACCTGGGTATGGCCTTTTGAACACCTTCTGTAAGTTATTTATTCCATAGAAGAGAAAAATGAAGCCTTAAGAGGTGAAGTAATTTGTATTGAGTCATCTCCAAGATCCATATTTGATAATCATCATAGTTTTCCTGCTTCTGAATCAGAGAGTAGTTTTAAGAAATTCCTCATAAAAGAAAACTTTTAAATGTTTTTCACGTTCTTTATATTCTCTATCAGGTCACATTATGGACTTAACCTGATTTTAGTTCAGTGGTACATTTATAGTGACTATCTTATGTAATTTGACTGAAGCATATTTTTGAGACAATATAAACAACATTACTCCCTCAGAATAGCATTCACTTTCCTTTTAGCTATTTTCTAGAGAATGCATGTAAGTTACTACTGCTTTCTTGGACTTCATGCCAAATTTTATTACTTAAAGAATTCTTGTTATTAAATAGCACTAATTCTAAGTTTTATGAGCTCTTTGAAGACAGGGGTTACTAGTTATTCTTTTTCTGAATCTCCAAAACCTGTAATATTGCACATAACAAGCACTCAACATGCTAGTTGAATAGAATTTAAATATACCCTGTTACTCATGTGACTTCCTTTAATTTTCAGAACATTTTTTTCAACTTAAAGCCCTATCTAAAAGTAAATACAGTGGGGAAAATGGCTTTATGTTTAACTAGATAAGACTGCTACCTACTAAATTGGTACCAGAAGCTTAAGAGTAATCAAATGCTGAATGCATATGAGACAAAAGGAGCTTTTTTTTAAAAAAAAAAATTGTGGTTAAAAAAAATGTACATATATATATAGAGAGAGAGAAAGAGTAAAATTTTCCCTTTTAAACGTTAAGAGTACAATTCAGTGACATTGTGTGCATCCAGAATTTTGTGTGGCCATCACCATTATCTGTTTGCAAAACTTTTTTATCACTGCAAACAAACTTTCCATTAAGCAATAATGCCCTCCTTCTCCCCTTCCCACCTCCCCACCACAATCTCTGATAACTTCTGATTTACTTTCTCTCTGAATTTGCCTATTCTACACATTTCATATAAATGGGATAATGAGGTATTTATCCTTTTTGTACCTACCTTATTTTGCTTAGCATAATGTTTTCAAGATTCATCTATGTTGTGGCATGTATCAGGACTCCATTCCTTTTATGATAGAAAGGAGCTGTTTTGATCTGGGCAAAATGGCTTGCTTTCCCCCGTCCCTAACCTAAGGAGGGCACTTCCTTAAACCATGAAAGGTCTTAGGTATATATTGTCACGTCAAAGATACTGGTCTGGGTATATGCAACTAGTTGTTCGAGATACTATGTTATTAAACACTAGTAGCCCTGAGCACGAATTCCTGCACTAGTAGCTCACTGCCGCCCTCCTGTAGCTCCCCCCTCCTCCCTACCCCATCTCATAGCTTGCTGCCCTGTCCCCTCCTGTAGCTCTCTGTCCCCTGCCCCACCCTCCTGCTGATCACCGTGATCCAGTCATTACACGGCCGGTTGTTACGCGTCAAGGTGTAAAAACCATTTGCATATTACATCTTTATTATATAGGATTGTTTTAATGCCATCTTGCCGATGTACTTAAGTGTGAAGGGGGAAGTGCAGATGGCATTCCATTATCAGCTTCCCGGGATCAGTAATGTATGAGTATCTAGCAGAAAAAAAACAGCAGGTATATAAATAATGGGTGGAGGCTTAAATACCAGAGTAGAACCTGACACACACTCTAGGTATTGCTGATTGCTATTTTAGGAGATATGACTAATTTATGGCAGTAATCCAATCTACCTACTTCCCTCCCTCCCTTTCAATTTTCTATATCCTAAGCTTAAAACTTATAAGGAAAATGTTTTGTGGAGCCATAGCAAAGCTAAGGTTCACTTGTAATGTACTATTTCACCAGGTTCTTCCTTAGAGGCTGTGACCACCTGTGAACTCTGTAAGGAGAAGTTACAGCTCAACCTGGAGGACTTTGACGTCCATGAACTGCACAGAGCTCATGCAAATGAACAAGTTAGTATATTTTCCCTCGTTGGTAAGTGTCTCTTCTATGTTTAAAGGACAACTCTTGAAGAAAAGATTAAAACATGGTCAGAAAACCGGCATTAAAATAATAAAAATAGTAATAATTTCTTAATATAATTCTGTTACTGCATTAGGGATTATAATTTTATAATTTTTCTTTTATTTTTCTCATAACTTTCTGTCACTGAAAGGTAAATAACCAAGTCACAGGTTTTAAATTTATGTAGATAAAATATATCCTATGTTTTCTAAATAAACCTGAAAATAATAAAAGCTTGGGAAAGTGATCCCTAAGTAGTGCCCCAGATGTCTCAGTTAAGAATGCCTCTTGAGTGCTGGAACATGATTAAAACAACAAACCCTGGATTTGCTTCATATTTCTGTATTTTTTATGTTAGAATAGTTTTTATATGCATATCTGACCACATGTTCTTAGTATCGTCGTTCCCTCTGCCCTCCCCATTTCTGTTTCCAACTTATGTTGAACAAGTTATTTTATGAAATTTTTTATTCCAAGTTCACATAGTTGTTTTCCTTTAGTATTTGTACCATTATAGTCTAGCTGTTATTTATATAATGAATACCAGGGCTTCTTTGATCCTAATACATTTTTCAAATATTTTCTTTTCATTTCTCGGATTCTTTTGGTATGTGTTGATAACTCCTGTTTCCCAATATTTTGATCACTAATTTTTGTTTCTTAAAGAGCTTAACATTTTTAAATGCTGAGATGCTTAAATTATACGGTTAGAATGAAAAGCTTACTTCTTAAGGGAAAATTTGGGAGGTGGAGGTGGAGAAAAGATGTTAAAGGAGATTATTAGGATGATCCTAGAGCCATACACTATCCAAGTGAGCTTAGCATATTTGTTATTAAGAGAGATATTTGATGGTGAGAAAATTCATGAATCCTTAAAAAACACTTTTTAAATGAAGGGGTAATGGACTCCTTGCCCCTTTATTTTATTGACACAAAGTTGAGATAACATAAAAACCACTTAAATTGAACAATTCAGTGGTTATCCATTTTTGCAATGTGCAACCACCACCTCTATCTACTTCCAACCATTTTCATCTCTTCAAAAGAAAATCCTGTACCCAATTAAGCAGTTTCTCCCCTTTACCCCCTTTTCCACATCCCCTGGAAACAACCCGTCTTATGTTCTGTTTCTGTGGAGTTCTCTGTTCTGCATATTTCATATAAACGGAGTAATGTGGTGTGTGGTTTCTTGTGGACACTACTTTTAAATGTGGGAATAAATGGATACCCCTGAAAATCTGATTAAAACCATGAACACTTCTTATAAAATATACATAGACACAAAATCTGTATATAAGTTATGGGATTCCCAAGTTTCTTGAAGCTAATTGCTTAGATCCAGGTTAAAAAATCAATGATCTAGTGCAGTGGTTGCCAACCTTTTGGACTTCATAAGGACCACCAGTGTTCCTCAGACCACCACTGATCTAGTGAATGAAACATTAGGCAGCTGTAGTACAGATGTTACTCCAATAATTAGTTATTCTCTAGTGAGTCGGTTGTCCAAAAAAATACCACGTAAGCAAGAAATTTTCTTAAATCCCCAAAGAGTCTCTCTAGACAACTGAGCATTGGTACTTTAAAGAATGGTAGAAGAGTATGGAAAGATGGAGTAATGCAAAGAAATATTTTTTTATTCTCAAAATGTGAATAGGTTACAAAGGATGGTTTTCTCCTGCCATTCTTCCTTCTCTAAGTACTCCATCGTGTCTCTTAAAGGTGGTGTTTGGCTTTTCAGTTAATCCAGGAATGTTTTTACTGTTCTCCAATGATTTTAATGATCCACATCTTAAGTAATTTGGAAGTGTTGGGAAATAGGTGGAGTCATTGCTAAGAAAGCTTCTTGGCTTTAACTTATTTGTTCTTTGTGAATTATGGATTCTGGTGGCCTGATAACTACCCCCATTTTAAGTGATTAGTTTAATATTAATACAGTTTAGTATTTCATTATCCAGTGGCTTCATTTTTTTCAAGGTACTAACCATTAACATTTTAAAAATCTTACGGGTACATAATTTTCTTGTAAGATAAAAGTAATTAAGTTAAGTATTTAAAGAAGCATTTAATAAATCAACTTTGAATTTCTTTAGTACTTTAGAATCTGATAACTTGCTGAAGTTGGTACTAATAAGGTATAGTACTTAACTTGCAGATAAGTTAATTAGCAAAATGGCACAGCTTACAGATAGCCTGCTGTATAAAAACTACAGGACAGTTCAGATTTTAAAAACACTATATGATTTGTAGTTTTAGCTTCAAAACAATAGAACAGTTTGGAATCAAAGAACTATTTGAGTAACAGTTACTCTATTTCCTTTTTTAGTTTATTCTTTTAATTACCGTTGCCTTTAAATTAATTGTATTACCTAAGAATCATGTGACCTATCAGAGTAGGTTTTAGTTATATAGTATATATTGAGTTAGCTGTAGATGAAGTGATAATTTTTAAGTAAATATTTAGTCATTTGTGCAGTGAAAGTGCTTATGAGCTTTATAAAGAACCAGATTCATTCTATAATCATATGACTTAAAAGTCCCACTTTTATATAAACCATTACATAAAGGAAGACTGTATGAGACTAAAGAGGCTATTCACACACCTATTCGGACTCATTATTTGGCATTAGTAAAATTTTATGATGTTATGAAGGGTGGCCCTTTATTTCCTGTTTTAATAGATGGCACCATATCTCTTACTAGGAGCTAGACATGAATGAATATATTTCCTCTAGTTTATCAGTGTACTATGACTATCAGTCTCAAGTTTACTAATTTTTCATTCTCCATTTTCTTTTTCTTTTGTTTGCTTCTCTTTTGAAGGCCGAGTATGAGTTTATCAGCTCCGGTCTCTACCTAGTTGTGTTATTGCACTTGTGCGAACAAAGCTTTTCTGATATGATGGGAAATACAAGTGAACCAAGCACACGAGTCCGAGTAAGTAATGTTGGAGGGGGGCGGTGGGAGGGTGTGATGTACCAGGTGTTTGTTTTGGAAAGCAGATTGTTTTATATGCTTATATTCTATTTCCTTTGAGGACTTCTTGTGTTAAAATGTCTCTTAAAAATTAAGTAGATTTAATAGAAATTGCTATCTTCTATATTAAGCAGCCTAATTTTCTCATAAAGCTATTTTAGAGAAGTAATTTTCTAGCTCATAAAGGTAATTGGAATATATTTCAGTGAAAAACAGAATTGGAAACACTAAGGGGAAAATGTTCTCTTTTTAATTGAGGGGAGAGGAGGATGACTTAGAAATATAACTTAGAAATCTGAACTCCAAAAACCAAGTGAGAACAGGAAATTAACCTCAAATTTTTTTGTTACTGTCATGTAAAAGCTTACCAATGTACTAATTTTCAAGTGAGTCCATAATGCAAACTATTTTAGATATGGACTATTTGGTATTTGCTCTGTACACTATTACCTTAATTTAACACTTAAGCTAGCTGTTAGGTAGTCATAAATGATACAGTTTGCCTCAGTGTACCAGAGGAAATTTGTGTGCTGCTACCTTGCTCATTTTGTGTAGCAGAGGCTAGGGCCACCTACATCTCATTACTGTAATTATCTGAACACTTCATATCTTTAAATGCATTCATAAACATATCCTTTAACCTTTTTTATATAAGTGTTCATCTTAGTGACAAAAATTTAACAATTTGTGGTATTTTTTAAATTATAAAAATGTAATGCATATTCTTATACATTGGTAAAACATTTTTCTGTAATAATCATATGCACATTATTATACCTGTGAGCCAGTTGACAGATTACATCATTGAGGAAAAGAGAATAAACTGTCTTAACACCATCCAGAATTTGAGCAAAGATCTCTTGATTTCTTAGTATTTTAGAAATCATAGTACTACCTAAATCTAGTTAATGCCATAAAATGACTTCTTTCTTAAGAATGAATAAACCATATAAGTCTAATAAGTTCTATTGAAGTCATGCCTTTTTAAAAAGCTGTAGTCAAATTAATATTCAAGTGCAAGTCATTTTTATGATTTTTAAAAAAATATAGAATCAAGTGCAATACTTCGAGTTGTCACATTTACGTAATATTCTTGTTTTAATTTTCTAAATTGACCACTAAAATTGAATTCATGAGTCCAAATTCTAAAGTTTTAATTTTTTTCCATCATTGTTGCGTTACATTTATGCAAGAGAAATGTTATTTGATACAAATTCTGTATTTGCTCCCAATTTCTACATGCTCAATACATGATTAATTTATGATTTGTAAAAAAATTAAAAACAATATCCTTAAACTTAGTAATTTTTGATGTGGGTCGAGAAAGACCCTCCTATTTAAAGGCTTAAAAATGGTGTTTGACTTTTTAAATAGAAATGAAAATCCTAAACTGAATCTCTCTTCAGATCCATTTGCAACATTTCAACTACTGTATTTTTTTCTGCATTGTTTCTAGTTTATTAACCTTGCAAGAACTCTTCAGGCACATATGGAAGATCTCGAAAGTAGGTGGAATTCCCTCTCCCCAGATTTGTTGAATTTACTGTTGCAAATTAAACTCACAGAGCAAAGCCTTAAGTATATACTCTATCAAATTAGAGCTTCATTTATAGCCTTAATACCATTGATTTGGGAAAGACGGCTGGGCATCTGACATTAAGATTTTTAAAACGTATTTTTTTAAATGGTACTAATTTTAAAGTACAGAAGGATCTACTTTTAACCATCAGTATATTACGTCTATTAAATAAAATTTTGTTTCTGATCACCTTAATTTTCACACTTAAGACGTTTGACTACTAATCAAACGACACTTTTTAATCTTTTAGATTTTTGTGTTTGTGCATGAAATTTTGTTATTCGGCTTCATTAGATCATAAAAGATTTTCCTGGGTTTATATATAGTTGTAAGAAAGTAGGGGTAAAAGAGCGCTAATTCTGAATCCATAACAGAAGCCATAGCGGTGGGTTAGTTCCTTTTTTGTTTGTTTTGCTCCTTGTTCAGGTCCTCATGGACATTTTTAGATCCTGTTCTAGCATTAGGACTTCTGCCTGGGCTCCTATATGAAGGCATTTAATGTCCAAATTTTTACAGGCATCTGTACAACATACCATCTTCTCAAAGTCCTACAACCTCCATGGTGCTTCATACCAGGTGGACGCAGATACTGGTGGCTCTGGAATAGTTCCTGGGACTCCAAGATTACCCTGTTTAGTACTTTTCCACCCAAAGCAAGTGGCTCCCCATGATCAAATTTGAATGCACTCTTTGAAGTGTTTTAAAATATGTATTCTCCAGTTGATTACCTTCTATATCATCTTCAAAATACTTGGAAGTGTTGTCTGTAGTGTGCATAACATTTTCATCTTTAGCAAGTGTTCAGCATCTTTTGAAATAAGGTTTGAGGGGGATTTAGTTCTCATAAGAACTTTTTAATTCTTTGATTACTCGAAGATATGGATTTTTGTCATTCTGTGCTATTTTTAAGTTTTAAAAAGCGTAGAGGTACAACCAGATAATGCATTTTTAGAATTTAGTTAGTATGTGTAAAAATTGTATATAAAAGAGCCAAATGGTATATGAAATGGGATATAAATCTTTTTTTCTTTATATCATCTTATCCCCTTTTTTGTAAATAATTTATACTTTATCAGATATAATTTCAGTGAGTATTTTTCCCAGATTGTTTGTCTTTTTTTTTTTTTTAATTCCCTTTTATAATTTAGCTCCCTAAACCTAAGTGTCAACTCCTAAACATGAGAGAGAGGAAAAAAGATGGAGGTGAAATATACTCAAACTCGGCTGAGAATGAGAGATGTTGTGGGTGCTACAAGTTAACTACCAAATAAATACCAGCATATTAACATTCTGAGCATGGGTTCTGACCGAATTTTCACCTGTGAAGTAAATAAAATAGAAAACATAAGTTCTTTACAAAGCAATATACTTTTAGTTTGCTACTGCTCCATGATACAGCATAAAACTTAACCCTTGTGTTTATGCATTCATGAGCTTTATGCTTGGTATCATTTAAGTTTTCTGCAAGATCAACGAATAGACTGAGAAACTGTACATGTAGCATAGTTTTCTGGTGGAAGTCATTTGCTGGGTACTCTTAAATCAACCAGTGTTAACACAAGAAGAGTAAATGCCCTTGATAATAGGGGAAATGCTAGTTCAGTGTTTATTTTAGTGAACTTCCATTTTCCTCAACATGCAGAGAAGTTTACAGAATACTTATGTTCCTCCTAAAGACATTACAGGATGTTTTATATTAAATTGTTGAACCACTAATGACGCTAAAATAAAGTGAGGTCCGAAATATTGCAAAATGATAAGTTTCTGGCAATGTGGAGTTATAGGAGTAATTTCAACAAAAGGTTTTTACTGAGTACAATTATTGTAGTTTAGGCTGTGTCTATAGATAACTATTTTAAATAACGAAATAGAGCTTTTTCTTGGCATTGTATAGACACAGCTTTGATGTAATTTGCAAGAATACCCATAATCTATTCTGTGCACATTTTTTTCCATTCTCACCGGATGCATCAAAACATGTTGCAGTAATAAGCCAGACTCAGGTGTGTGAGAGCACTTGTTTTAAGTTCACTTTTTCTCTGTTGAAATTGGCTAATATGAGCACAAACTTCTCAGAAACTTTTTAGAAGATGTTCTTGAACCACATTTTAAAACATTTTTGTTTTTATAGAAACTAACATAAAAAGATTTAGGGATGGGGGTGTTTTGGAATGGCATTACCCACAGTCAAACTACCCTAACCCCTGTCATATCTTGATTTTGACCAAAGAGTTTACTACGTTGGGATTTTATTTTACAAGTCATTGCTCTTCTGGCTTCATATTGACACTTCCATTCTCATCCCCCTTAAAATCATTCTTGATCATCCTCTTTTCTTTCAACAGCTTCAGAGGATGATTCTGAAGAAGATGGAGAACATAACAGAACATTTGATATTGCCTAACTTCATATAAGACAAATGGATGATCTGTTAACAAGTGTTTATTAAAACTGGCAATTAAGTATGAGTTAATTTTGTGGGGGAATGCCTATTAAATACATTATATAAATAAAATGAATATATATATATATACACACACACACACGTATGCATGTGTGTATATATATATTCATTCTCAAGTGTTGCTGAATTAAAATTCTACTTGCTGGACCTTTTAACATGGCCAGTCACTGATGTTAATAAACTGGTAATCAAAAGTATTTTTCTTTTAGGTGAGTGGGGAAGTGTTAAATTGTTTTAAATATCTAAGCAATGCCTACAACCCTTTTTTTGTTCTGATTATTGTAGTCATATTTATGAAAATGGTTCGTGTTTTAGCCCTTTGCTAGTAAAAAAAAATGAGACAAAACTGCTTTCAAAATAAAATGCCAAATGGCACCTAGTTATTTTTCCTTTTAAAATGCCTTAAGTTGCGGTCTCATTTACATAATCATTTGCTTCCGGTGTTTAAAAAGAAAAAAGAATGAGTAGGGGAGAGTAAGTTATGAAGAGCTTATATTAGGTGTCCAAATTTACTTTAAATTCTAAATTTATTTAGCGGTAATACCTAATTTTTTAAAAAGTATATAAATTTAAAATGTATAAATGATGGATACATTTTTGTATTGATTTGAAAAATGCAGGTTATATTTGATAGGCCATAGTATGTAGATATTCCTTTAGGAATATTTCAGCTCTAAATTATACCAGAATTGCCAGTCAAATGCTATTTGGTAAAAAGAAAATTATTGCAATCTCAAGTTAATGGAATATTTTTAAATCCCACATTCAAAGTTTAAAACACTGGTTTTCAATATGTTTTTTAGTGTTGTCACTTCTTCGTAAATAAAAACCTGTTTGGATCCTGACCGTTTTTAACTGTTGTTAATCTGAGCATTTATTTAGTGGCTTACTATTTTTCACCACATTTGGAGAACAAAAGAACTTTACCTGTTCACCATGAATAGATCTACACTGTGGTCATGC